TTCTTCCTTGCTCGCTCTATCTCCCAAGAGTGATATTTAAATCAGGACCCTCTCGGCAACCTTAGATCCTTTACAGAAGCGAGTAGCAGTGGGAGGACGAGGTCGACAGAATTCGAGCCGCGCCTAGACCTCTCTTGGGAGCGAGAAAACGTCTTCCCGATAGGAAAGCGAAGAAAAGGAGCACTAACACAACGAAATCTGTTCAAGAAATACTATCGTTCTCTCGCTCTACCTCTTTCGCTACTACTTCGTTAATTTATCGTTTGAAGCGTTCGATTGGTGACCTCCAACGCTATAAAAGAAACTAGGAAAGGAGCGAGGGAGGCGAAAGAGTGACTCACAATTTTACTGTAAGGTCTTTTTAAGAAGTTTGCGAAGCGCATCCCTGGAAATTCTAAGTATAAGAAGTTAAAATGCACTCGAGCGAAAATGATTTTTAGCCATTTCTCGAACGATGGTGTACTGGACCGAGGTTATAAGGAAAGTCTTCAAAAGATGAAAAGACTTTCTCGCATGGCTTACCGGATGAAGTTACGGGCTCGTATATCCAATAGCATTATAGAATTATATTTCCACGAGTTAGCGGTAATGTTGTTATCCCAGCGTCACTGCCCATTCTATCCAAATTCGTTCTATCCGGGGACTAACTCAGTACTAATTTATCGTTTCGCTGGATCGATAGTTCCAGCCTGGCTCTATGTACACGTACAAGTGAATCTATATATAATGTACTTGTGCTCATCATAGTGTAGTGGGACAGTTTGCGGTATGAGAGTCAACCAATACAAGAGCAAACTATCGCTTGAACAGATAAATAACATAGAGATAAGTTTGCTATCTCAAAGAGAAGTGATACGAGCATTGATCATGAATTAGCTTCTGTTTTATATTACAATTGTATATTATCTTTAAATACGGGGATTTTTTTTTTTTTTTTTGAACTCCATTGATCGACTAATAATCTGTGCTAAATTAACTTTTCATACTCTTACATGTAATTTAACATATACATTTATAGATTATTAATTGTGTAAAATCATTAATCTGGCATTTAACCTAATCGAATATTAATATTTACAAATTCCTATGACTCATAATATTTTATGCAAGACATTGTAATTTTAGCGTTCATTCGTTTAATAATTACATCTCATTTACTTTTAATATGTAATCAAGTAAATTAGTAAATGTATTTAACCTATTAATTACAGAAGGCAATTTACTTTAAAAATATTTACACTTTTATGACTTCCAGTAAATAATGATTATATAGAGAACATCTATTCTTACATTATTACAGTTGAATGAATTACAATAAATGCGTAATATTGAGTAATAAATAGATTAATTTAATTTATTGTGCATTATATTAGAAATTTAAAACAATTTAAATTTAGCATACGAATCAGGGATTCAATTGTATTTGCTTCCGAAACAAACTACGCAGAATGTACAATTTAGTAATTCAAAACTTCATAATGTAAATAGACAAAATCCTAAATCCTAACTGGCTTCGAGTTTCAAGTCCGAAATTTCCTTTGCTTTTTTTTTTAATTATTTGCATGAAAATATCATTAGTTGATTATAAATATAATTGTTAATTTAATTATGCCATTTATAAGACATATTAATTTTGCGAAGTTTGTCCTGAGATTTATTTTAAATTATGCGATTTGTCAATAAATTTCTCATTTTGTATGTATTTCAAAAATTTTCTTTGAAAAGTCTTAAACGAAATGCTCATTGCAGAGCACTTCTTAGCAGTTATATTAAAGAATTCGTGGAAATATGAGAAAAAGTTTCTGATTCATCGAAAAGAAAAAAAAGAAAAAAGAAATCGGGAGACTTGATGTCGATGTCTTTAATATTCTTTTCGTTTCAAATCAGCGGGATGAGAAAATCGCTTTTCTTTTGAAAAATTGGCATCGTCAGCTTGAAAGTATCAGATGTAGTTCCTTGCAACAGATTTCTCATCGAAAAGAAGGACAGCGTAGTATGTGCTTGCTTCACTGCTACCAGAGCCAGCGTTGTTACTACCGAGATGGGAGATCTCTTGAGAAAATAGCTTTTCCGACAGTTATATAGAAGGGCACTCATATATAAGCATTTATAACTAGCGCTCAGCAAGAATCGAAAGATAACTGCGGCCTAGGAGGAAATGGGCCTTTGTCGTCGAGGAAGTCCTTGATAACTGCTTGTGAAAAGAGCGAACATCCAGTAGTGGCAGCAAGTTCGTGGATTATATGGTACAAAAACGAAATAAAACCAAGAGAGGAAGGGAAAGAAAAGAAAGAGGGAAAAAAAAATGAAATTGCCGGGAGAGAGAATATTTAATTTTGCCTGCGTTACGTTTTCGGGCAGCATGCGAGTAAACCACCTGTGCTCGTCTCAGCGACTTTTAAATTTCTGCCATTGCCGGCTCTATTCTCGGTAAAATGTTTATTCAATTTCGCTTACCATCACAGCAACGTATTTACTTGCTACCTACTCTTTCCTTCCCCTTTCCGATCTTTTATATACCGGGACTCGTTGAGACTGTCACTGGCTGATGCCACCTTATGTAGTCCCCTCCCCACCTTCCTATATCTCACTAGAATCTGATATTTCAAATGAATCGCGGGCTTTAACTTGAAAAGTAAATGGAAAATCGATTTACGCTTTATATTGTCGATTGAGTAGCATTGAGAAAAACGAAGAAAATTAGGCAAGTCGGGCGCATATTTAAATACGAGCTAGCGAATTTTCCCGTTCAGTTT